CCTTAGACTGTTCATTTCCAAAGTCCTTCACATCAGGTTCAAGCTTTGTCTTCCACTTTACAGCTTCGGTTTGTCGTGCTTCAACAGTTTCTTTCTCCTTGTTCGATGTCTTAAGCTCCTTTATCAGCGACTCATCTGAGTTCTTGGACTCGTCTTTGGTTTTCTCAACTAAAACCGTAGAAGAGATTGTCGTTAATGTTGCTAAGATGTGTGACGATACCGGAAACAAAGAACACACATGGTAATTTAGTGTCCGAGATTGAAACAACTATGACAGAATATCATATCGTTCTAGGCAACAATTTGTTTTTTTCTAGAAATGCTAATTAAAATTGTTCATTTTTTAAATTTTAATTATCACTGAATACAACAACTTTTTAAAAAAAATGAGCCCCCAGATAGCGCGGTTAGAATCTAGTAATTGTTTATAAGATTTTTACAAAAACTAATTTCGTTTCTTATAAAAAAAAAAGTTTCTCATTAAATATAGGACTATTTATGGCTTTGAAATATACTAGTTCTTTACAAACACACTTTTTCATCTTCTTTGTCTGAAACGAACTTTGTGTATCACTTTTGAAGAGTCTTTGAATCAAGATTCTTGAAAATGTCGATTTTTTGCAAGAAACTTCATGTTGTCTTCTTTTATGTTCGCAAGGACTTTTTGCACTCATGATCTTCTGCAACTTTGTTTGTCTGTTTGAAAAAGACAAAGGACAAAAAAACATATATAAACATGTAATTTGAAGTATTCAATTGCATAATTACTCGTGCAAACAACTTAGAAGAAATTATCTCCATACCTCACAGATTTATTTTAAAATTGTTTTTCTCTTCTTTTTTTTGTTAAAGTAATTGTTTTTCTCTCTTTATGTGAATTTTACTTTGCATTGATTGATTTAAAAACTACTATAGAAAAATGTTTCCGAAAGTGAAATTACATTTTCCCAGAAATTGCATAACTTTATAAACACTAATTCAATGAATTGTGAATTTTACTTTGCAGTCATTGATTTAAAAAACTAAATATACATTCTTGGGGTTTAAATGGTTTACTATTGAAAAATGTTTCAATAAGGAAACAGCGTATCAGATCATCAACGACGAGCTAATGCTCGATAGTAACCCGAGGCTAAACCTAGCCTCGTTCGTGACCACTTATATGGAGTTAGAGTGCGACAAGCTCATGATGGAGTCTATCAACAAGAACTTTGTTGACATGGACGAATACCCTGTAACCACCGAGCTACATAACCGATGCGTCAATATCAAGCTTGAAAGCGCCGCTGGGTAAAGGCGAGGCCGGGATTGGAGTCGGGACCGTGGGATCGTCGGGAGGCGATCGCCGGAGCTAATGTTCAGGTAAACCAAACACATTTGATACTATACCAAAAATTTGATACTATGCCAAAAATTTTCATTGAGTTTTAGTTCAATATGCTTTCTGCTAACACTTAAACCAACCCAAAAGATATATATTATTAGCCAAAAAAAAAAAAAATGATATTTATTATACCAAAAAGTTGAATTATTCAGCCAATAAATAGTTAAACAATGAGCTACTATACCCAAAAATTTGGTAACGCGTGCTGGTTAACGTCTGTTTATGTTTTTTCTGAATTTCCGGTTCAATATAGGTTTGCTGGGAGAAATTTGCAAATTATTTCGAAGTGGAGCTCAAGGAAGTGAAACTAAGAGAAGGTTATTACGTGATGGACCCTGAAAAAGCGGTTTAAATGGTAGACGAAAAGACAATCTGCGTCGCGGCAATCCTCGGTTCAACGCTAACCGGAGAATTCGAAGACGTTAAGCTCCTTAACGACCTCCTAGTCGAGCAGAACAAGAAAACCGGTTAATTTAACCAACCCAATTTAAAAAAGAAAAAATAATAACAAGCCCCGGTTTAACGTTTGTAAAACCATTTTGTAGATGGGAAACGCCAATTCACGTGGACGCATCGAGTGGTGGGTTTATTGCACCGTTCTTGTATCCGGAGCTAGAGTGGGATTTTCGTTTACCTTTGGTTAAGAGCATAAATATATGAGTGGTCACAAATACGGAAAAAGATGTATCGTACAACAAAATAATAATTATTTATTATTGGGTGGAAAAAAATGCTTTTATTTTCATCTAAATTATCCTTATAAATTAGTACCTTTTAATTAAATGTTCTAGAATTCTTCCTTTTTCCTTCAAATTTATGATAAATAAATTAAATTATGTTGTGTTGGAAAAATGCTTTTATTTTCGTCGAAAAGTATCTACTATAAACTACCTTTTAATTAAATGTTCTAGGACTCTTCTTTTTCCTTTTAATTTATGGTAAATAAATTGAATTATGTTTGTGTTTTAATATTTCTGCATGTAAAATGTAGTGGCAGTGAATCGCAGTTGATTATTCAGTTCAAACGGTCATCTATGCAAAATGTTTAATAAAAAACGTTTTGTTTCGTTTAATTTTGTGTCTCAACTCCTTTATATACTCAACGAGTAATCATTTGTTTTTTGAAAAATTTCAAAAAATGGCATTTTATAAAAATGCCACACTTTTGAAATCTTTGCAAAAATGCCATTTTTTTAAAATTATTTTTTCTTTATATTATTTATGTTTGGGTTAACTATATTGGTTTAGTTTTGAAGGTTTAGGGAGGTTTAAGGGTCAAAACATTTTTTAGGG